GTGATTCCTCCTACTACTGACATGTTCCCAACCTCTTGTCCACCGTGGGCTCCTGTTTCTACAGTCCCTCTTGGCAGCTGATACTCACTCGAGGGACACGCTAAATGTGTACCCTCTGGAGCTTCAAGTGTCATATCGCCGGGACCTCTCCAGATAGGACTTCTCTCTTGAATGCTGAGCCCCATTTCCAACCACCTCCTAGGAAGCACCTCACTGCGTGCGTCGGAACCCAGCCAGGCTCATGCGAACTCTTTAACGAGAATGCCTACTCCACGGATTTGGTGTGACAGTTGTTAACACCTGGGGCTGACCTGATGTTGTGTTTGCCCAGCATGCCTGCGGTACTGTGGTCAAGCCTGGTGCCACACGCATAAGCCCGGTGGCACATGCTTACAACTGGGAGGGAGGTTCCAGGCTGGGTTTCTCTCCTGTAGCTCTGGACGTCCTGGAACTCACTGTGCTGTAGACCAGGCTGACCTCGAACTCATAGAGATTGGTCCCACCCCTGCCTCCCAAGGGCTGGGATCAAAGGTGTGTGCCTGTGCGCCACCACGACTCAGTACACACTTACAGACTTAGTCCTTGAGAAATGAAGGCGGGGGGGGGGGGTGACTGGGGGAGGTCAGAAGTTCAAGGGCAGGGCCAGCAAGACGACGGTTCACGGAGTAAAAGCACTTGCCACCAAGCTAATGACCCGAGTTGGATCCCCAGAATCCACGTGGTGGTAGGAGAGAGGGCTGACTCAAGGCAAGCTGCCCTCTGACCTGCAAGTGTGTGCTGTGGCACTCAAGCCTGTGCTTGCACAAACACACCAAACAGAGAAATGTAAAAGAATCATTGTCTTCCAAAGGCATTCATGGCTACACTGTCAGTTTGAGGCTGGCCTGGATTACATGAGAGTCTGTCAAATTAGAGAGAGAGGGCCACCTGGCAAATGTTTACAGTAGTGCCTGGAGGAGTCCCTATTATTTTGCAGACAGATTTTTCCTAAATATCTCTGATCCCCAAAGTCTCTCTTCCTCTCTCTTAACCTTCCCCTCCTCCTCTTCCCCAACCCCTCCCCCCCCTCTAATTATCTAAAAGTCTCAAAACTGAAGGTCTGAACATCTCTTCTCCTTCTCACAAACCCCCAGGGCACTAGGGAAAAGATGAAGCCTATAGCACCTCCTGCTGGAATGCAGCTGGTAGAACACCTGGAACAGCAACTGAAGACAACGTTGTGTGTGTGTGTGTGTGTGTGTGTATGTGTGTGTGTTTATGCATGCCATGTACATGCGGAAGCCTGAACAGTAAGTGATCTTAACGGCCGCTCCATCTCTCCAGGTCCCTGGAACTGAAATTCTTAAGCCCATAAACCCATTTGCTTTTTCACCGGGCATATATTAGGTATTTGTGAGTATTTCGTATTTACACGAGCATTTCACCTTCAGTTCCAGCACTTGTGAAGCTAAAGCAGGAGCATCAAAAACCTAGAAACAATCCGGGCTACACAGCAAGATGCTGTCTCAAGAGTTGAGTTGTTTTGTTTTTTTTTTTTTTTAAATTTTATTTAGTTTTTTTTAAATATATTTATGTCTTGAAGGAAAACGACAGCTGGAAAAAAACACACTTGTATGTATTGGCTGTGTCCATAACATATGAGATGGCTCTGGCTCGCCACGGGTGGAGGTGCTTGCCACCAAGTTTGATGCGCAGAGCCCACAGGGTGGAAGGAGAGAACTGACTCCCACAGCTGGCCTGGCCCCTCCCCATGAACAGCTGCGCACCCCTGCATGAAACTGAAACATACATGATAAATTATTTGTAAAAAAAATATTTTTAAAGGGACTGGAAAGATGGCTCCGTGGTTAAGAGCACTGGTTGCTCTTCCCAGAGGACCCGGGTTCAATTCCCAGCAACCCAACTTACAACTGCCTGTAACTCCAGTTCCAGGGGCCCTGATACCCCAACACAGACAAACTTGCAGGCAAAACACAACTGCACATTTTAAAAAAATTATTTTTTTTAATATACAGAAGGGCAGTTGGATGAGGTGGCACATCCTGTGACCCCAGCACTCAGGGAGGCAGAGGCAGGCAGATCTCTGTGAGTTCAAGGCCAGCCCTGGCATACAAAGCAAGTCCAGGACAGCACAGGCTACGTAGAGAAACCCTGTCTTGAACCCATTCCCCCCCCCCCAAAAAAAAAAAAAAAAGAGAGACAGAAGACCTTTGGAGGTGGCTCAGTTGGCAAAATGCTTGTTGAAGAGGGGGATCTGAATTTGGAACCCCTAAAAAGTGTGTGCCGAAAATCCCAGCATTGGGAAGGGATGGACAGCAAGCTCCTAGGTTAGAGTGGAGATGTCAAAAAGCAAAAGGAAAGGAAAGAAGGGACAGAGGGGGCGACACTTGAGACTATCTCTCAAAAACAACCAAAATAAAGGGGGGAGGCCTCCCCTTTAAGGCTGAGGAGCCCCACTGCGGGAGGCATTTGCATGGCTGGGTCAGGTCCCTGTACCCCTCCATTACCTTCATGCAGAGGCTGGCCTTCACTAAGTAAGAAGCCTCGTGGGGACACACTGGCCCCAGGTCCATCAGCTCCGTGTTAATCATTCACTAGGGCACACCTGGGTCCCATTGGCCGCCTGGGGACACAGCCCCCTGGGTGGGAGGCCAGCCAGTGTCTGTCCCGTCATCGGCAATGCAATGCTGATGACACTCCCTGAACTGAAGGGGTGGGTGGGCACTCAGGAAGCCCCCCAGCCTGAGGAGGGAGGCAACAGCCCTGTCTCCAGGGTCCTCCGGGCTGGGACAAGGATGGAGGGAACAGGATTAGAAGGAAGAGGAAGAAGAGATGTCTGAAAGGGAGAGAACGGAGGAGGGTGAGCACTCAGATGGGCTTGCAGCAATGCCTAGGGTAGGGAGGGGAAGCACGCTGAAGGATGGGGGCTCCAGGGGGCTCTGAAGCCAGAGAGGTGCTGTAGGACGGACGTTATCATAGCCCACCTCCTTTGGGGACTGTGAGACGTGCATGTGGTAGGGGTGCACCACCGGCCTGACAGTTGAGAGGGAAGAGGAAAAGGGCTCTGGAGGGTCCACTGTGTGTGTGTGTGTGTCTGTCTGTCTGTCTGTCTGTCTGTGTGTACACACGTGCCCGTCCACACACGGAACGTCCCAGCCTTACGGCACTGCCTGCCTAGCTTTCTAAGTCAGAGGACGGAAACACCAATGAGAAGGACTCAAAGTTCAAGCTCTCCTCCCACTCCAGATGCCCCGGCCATTGTGTGTGGGTGTGCTGACGGGCCGGTTTCCAGGATGGGGTCGGCACACTTACCCAGCAGCCTCTGGATTTTTTTTTTCCTTTTTGTGGACAGAGCCCAGAACCTCTCACAAACTCTACCGCAGAACCGCATCCCCAGCATAGCATTCTGGGAACACCTCCACCCGGGAGGTGACTCAGGTGACTCCTCTGTTAAGTGGTACCCTGGGGGCCTGGGGAGCAAACCCACACTAAGAGCAAGGTGTGGTAACTCATAGCCTGTGCTCCCCACACCCAGGATGCTGAGGTGAGTTCCAATCCAGCCTGGGACACACAGCAAGACACTTTTTCAAAACAAGCCCGCAGACAGCAGAGAGCGAGCGGAAACACTAGGGAAGAGGTGATGCCCAGCGTCTGAGGTGTGTGATCTTGGCCAAGTGGCCGTCCCTTTACAGTGACAGAGTTCCATTTTCTCCTGTCACACTGGATGGAGTGTCCCAGGGGTAGGACAGGACTAACGGAGCACACAGGGACGCTTTCGAGTAACACAGGCACACCGGTGCCCTGTGACCTGCACGTCCCTACTGATGAGCCAAGCATCTTGGCTCTCAGTATGTCTGCATCTCAAGGTCCTGGTTGGCAAATGAGGGAACACGACACCTCTCCTGGAGTCACCATGAGGACAATGGAAGGGGGTTTCACAGAGCTGGGCATTCCTGGGGAGGTGTCACCTGGAACTGAGGTATTGCTAGCACCTGTCACAAAGCTAACTGTTTTCAAGCCAGCAGGCTGAGCAAATCCATCTGGAATGCAACAGGCTTGTTTTGTTCTCACTTTAAGCATTTTTTCCCCCTGTTTCTCGCAAGTGACATTGGCCTTCAAGTCACAGTCCTCACATGAATTGATTTTAGCTTCAAACAGCCTAAAGCATTACTAAGAACAGAGGAGTAGTACCTTGAGGCTATGATGGTACAACTCACGGTGGCTCCAGCAGGAGTTGACAAACGCTGGCTAGTCTGACCATGTGCAGACACATCTGCTTTTTTAAGACAGGGGTTAGGCCCATGAGTTCGAGGCCAGCGTGATCTACAGTTCCAGGACAGCCAGAACTACACAGAAAAACTCTGCTGGGGGTGGGAGTGTGGGGGAAGGCTTTTCCTTAGCCTAGGCTGGCCTTGAACTCTTTATGAGGTCATGGAAGACCTTGATTCTGATCCTCCGGATTCCCCTTCAGGAATGTGGGGGTTACAGGTATCTAGATTATGTAGACCCCTGGAACTCGCTCTGTACACCAGGCTGTCCTGGAACTGGATATAGGCCTGCCTCTGCCTCTTTATCTTTTGCGACAAGGCCTTACTATGTAGCCTAGGTTCGCCTGGAACTCGCAACCAACCTCCCGGGAGGGAGCTGAGATTACAAAGACGCCCCGCCACTTCCACCTTGTTTTGCATCCATAGGCTACAGTGAAGGACCACGCCCTGTGTTCAATTTTCCCTGACTCCTCCCTCCAACTCCTGTACCAGCGCGACTGTGCGAATTCGCAGACACACCGGGGACACCTGGGCGCTTCCCGGAACCAGCATTGGTGGCGGATTAATGAGCTCCACCGCTCTAAATCTGACCTTCCTGACCCTCCCTACCGGTTCCAGTGTACCCCACAAGGGGCGGAGAATTCTAGAGGCCCCACCCTCCGGACTGGGCTCTGCCCCTTCCCAAGCGCACCCAGAAGCCCTCGGCGCCTCCTATCCCGCCCCGCCCCGAGTCTGATTCAGCCCAGCTCAGCAGCAAGAAGCCCCGGGGCTGTGCTCTCCGGACCGACCGCCACCTGTGGGTGGGGGGGCGAGTGGGTTTGGTTGTCGTCATGGCGACGGCGTGGGTAGCCAAAGCCCTGCGGTCCGCTGCAGCGGCCAGAAGGCTGCGCAGCCCGGGAGGTCCCGGGGGCTCACGGAAACTGAGCGGTAGCGCTCGGCGTCGAGGGCCAAGGAGCGCCAGCCCGGGACGCCGGCTCAGCACCGCGAGGGCCCCCGCAGAGGACTCGGAGGGCGCTAAAGGTCGCGTCCAGTCTCCTGCCGTCGAGGAGCCGTGGGCACCGCTCCCAACGCCCCTCGAATCCCCTGCGCCTCCCGCCGGCAGGTCACTGGTGCAGCGGGACATCCAGGCCTTCCTGAACCAATGTGGTGCCAGCCCAGGGGAGGCACGCCACTGGCTCACACAATTCCAGACCTGCTACCACTCGGTGGACAAGCCCTTCGCCGTCATGGAGGTGAGCCGCTCCTGTTGTCTTCGTGGTGTCACCGCAAGGAGATGGTGGCTGTTCGGAGTGCCAGGCTTCGAACCCTGAGCGCTTTAGCGCCGGGTTGGTGCTGGGGTTGGGGGGCCGGGGGGAAGCCGGGAAGCCAGGAGGCTACGGAAGCCGAGCCTGGCGCTAGTGAGGAGGTAAGGGAGCCCAGAGGTGATGTCTGAAAAAGGGCCTCTCGCCATGGACGCAGTTAGGGGTTCGGTCGGCAGAGCTGTCGCACCACCCCTCCCCCCAAGGTGTCCCAGAGTCCAAGGCCACTGGGAGGAGCCGAGGGAGGAACGTTAGTGCTAGATAAGGGGGTGGCCAAGACCTAGCGGGCAAAGGGCGGAGCAGTTAGCCAAAAGTGGAGTGCAGTCACTGAGGGTCCTGAGGCCTGCGCAGGGCCAGGCGGCTGGGAGCCACTGTCGTGCCCCTGAATGCCCGCTCCGCTCCTGTGCAGGTGGATGAGGAGGTGCTTCAGTGCCCAAAGGCGGTGTCCAGCCTGGCTTTCGCCCTAGCCTTCCTGCAACGCATGGACATGAAGCCGCTGGTGGTCCTGGGGCTGCCGGCCCCCACGGCACCGTCGGGCTGTCTTTCCTTCTGGGAGGCTAAGGCGCAGCTCGCTCAGAGTTGCAAGGTGCTGGTGGATGAGCTACGCCATAACGCGGCTTCTGCTGTGCCCTTTTTTGGCGGCGGATCAGTGCTGAGCGCTGCGGAACCAGCCCCCGATGCCAGGTCAGTGTCAGCCCCGCCCCACCCCGGCATTGGCAGAGCCCTGCCCGGGTCCCTCTCGAGCACCACCACGTCTGGCCCGCAGCTACGGCGGCATCGTCTCGGTGGAGACAGACCTGTTGCGATGGTGCCTGGAGTCCAACAGCATTCCCATCCTGTGTCCCATCGGGGAGACGGCTGCGCGCCGCTCGGTGCTTCTTGACTCCCTGGAGGTGACCGCGTCTCTGGCCAAGGCTCTGCGGCCCACCAAAATCGTCTTCCTCAACACTTCAGGCGGCCTGCGGGATACCCGTCAGAAGGTGTGCCCCTCTCCAGCGCCATCTCATGACACTTAGGCAAGACTGAGCCCCCTGCCCTGTGCCCACTGTATGACTCCAGGGCAGGCCACAGGTAAACTCTCAAGCCGAGCGCTAAGAGAAGACTGGAGAGTGGGGCTGGAATTGGGTGCCCAGATCTGAGCACTTCCCAGCAGAGGGCGGAAAGGTTAAGTGGTCAAAGAGAGGTCGGTAGGGCGGGGCCCAGTTTAGTGTGGGCGTGTGTCTGCCGGAGGCTGGACGCTCCTCTTCTCCCCGGGACTTAGATCCTAAGCAACGTGAACCTGCCGGCCGACCTTGACCTTGTTACCAACGCCGAGTGGCTGAGCACCAAAGAACGCCAGCAGATTCGCCTCATCGTGGACGTGCTCAGCCGCCTGCCGCACTACTCCTCCGCGGTCATCACCGCTGCCAGCACGCTGCTCACGGAGCTCTTTAGCAACAAGGGTGAGGGCCGAGAGAAGGTGGGCTGGGCGGAGTCCGCTGAGCACCGGCGGGGCCTGGCTGCAGGGGGCAGCCTCCCCACCCCAAACCCGGCATCCCGCCCTCCCGCCGTCCCTCCCCCGTACTCAGACAGTGGGGCCTGGAGGAAGATGGGCGAAAAGCGCACCCAGCGCTGGACCTGACCCTGGCGCGACCTAAGCCCGCTCTCCGATCTCCCCAGGCTGTGGCACCCTGTTTAAAAACGCTGAGCGGATGCTGCGAGTGCGCAGCCTCGACAGTCTGGACCAGGGCCGCCTAGTGAACCTAGTCAACGTCAGCTTCGGCAAGAAGCTCCGGGAAGACTATCTGGAGTCCCTGCGTCCTCGGCTGCACTCGATCTATGTCTCTGAGGGGTGAGCCTCCGGGTTCCACAGGGCAGGACCCAAGGGTCCCGAGCCGGGCAGCTTCGGGCCCGGGAGAGATCCCAAGCCTGCCTCTCTCCCGCTGCGCCAGGTACAACGCTGCGGCCATCCTGACAGTGGAGCCTGTACTAGGGGGCACCCCGTATCTGGATAAATTTGTGGTGAACTCCAGCCGCCAGGGTCAGGGTTCCGGACAGATGCTGTGGGAGTGCCTTCGGAGGGACCTGCAGACGCTGTTCTGGCGCTCCCGGGTCACCAACCCCATCAATCCCTGGTAGGTGCAACCACTCATGACCCGGGCTCCGCTAAAGGGCAGCTGGGCATTCCCTCCTTTCACTAGCCTCCTTTCTTCAGAGACAAGTCTCCTCCAGGGTCAAGGCCACCTAGGGACATTCTTCAGTCCCACATTTCTGCTTTCTCTGAAGCAAGTGGCATCTGACTAGGATTCTGATAAATCCTGACCCTTCCAGCTCTCCTCAGGCTTGGTTGCCAGGCTCCTGACGCTAGGCTGTGTCTCTGAGGAACACCCCCCCCCCCTTTTCATTCAGCAACCTTGTCGTCAGCCCCCACTGACCTGCTCTGTGGGCACTAGAAAATGACAAAGGACTTGCTCCTTTGCTATACCAGGCGGGAAGGGGGAGGGGAAGCAGCATTATCTCCGCCCTCATATTCCTAGTTGTGAGATTCTGGTGAGTTACCGAACTTCCCTGAACCTTGGCTGCTGTTTTGGGGAATGACAATATGGGCTTCATGAGCCACTCCAGGATAAAAGAGCAGACATTTGGTCCTAGTGGGCTGTTACATAGAAGACAACTAAGAAAACACAGAGCAAGCACCAGCCTTGTCCCAAAGCTGACCCTTCTGCCTCCATACCCAGGTACTTCAAGCATAGTGATGGCAGCTTCTCCAACAAGCAGTGGATCTTCTTCTGGTTTGGCCTGGCTGACATCCGGGACTCCTATGAACTAGTCAACCATGCCAAGGGGCTGCCGGACTCTTTCTGCAAGCCAGCTTCTGACCCAGGCAGCTGACCCGTCATCATGGGCCCTGTAAATCCTGGGATGGACAAAAAGCCATGCCCGCTGGGGGTGACCCCGGGCAGCTGAGGGGAGGAAGTTGACCAACCATGTCTGCTGAAAGGCACCGGAACAGGACAAACAGAAAGAGTGAAGCCAGCCAAAGACCCTGCTCCAAAGCCAAACCAGACAGTCTTCAATGTTCAGCCTGGGGAATGGGACTAGGATTGTCTCCCAGGGAACTACTTAAAGGGCAGGCCAGTTTCCATGGCCTCTGTGCTGTCTTGAGGCTCCTTTGTCTTACACAGCATCTAAGCCTGCTTGACTTGACCTACCATTCACTTCACTTCCTTTGCGCCTTGAAATTCTTCAGGAGGCCTCGATTAAAATATAAATGCTTGTCTGAGTCAGTCACACTTGTCTCAAAAACAAACTAAAAACTGAAATGACAATCAGGACTTCAGGGTACGGGGGATATCTTTTTTCAGTACTGGAGATGGCACCTAGGGCCTGAGACATTCTAGATTAGTGCTCTACCACTGAGCCACGCCTCCCCGCAGCTGATGTTTTAAGGTTTCTTTTTAAAGACAGTAACCCTCTGGGAACAAGAAGCCAGGTTTTTCATCCAGTGCTTCTGGAGGATTTTTTTTTTCCTGCTGTTGTTGAATTTATCACAGGAAGTTGACTGCCAAGTACAGTATGATCATTCCAACTGTTGCTAGGTGGTGACATGGGCTCAAGTGTTTTTTATGTGTATGTGTGTGTGCAGGTATCCACAAAGATAAGATCCCCTGGAGCTGGAGTCACAGATGGCTCTGAGCCACTTGGCATGGATACTGGGAACCAAACTATCATTCTCTGAAAGGTCAGCCAGGGCTCTTAGTCACTGAAACCTAAACATTTTTTGGTTTTGTTCTGTTTTTTTTGAGACAGGGTTTCTCTGTGTAGCTTTGGCTGGCTTTGTAGACCAGGCTCGTCTGGAACTCAGAGATTCTCCGGCCTCTGCTTCCCAGAGTGCTGGGATTACAGGCGTGTGCCACCCGGCCTGGCTCACTACATATTTTCCTAAGATTTAATTTTATTATGTGAGCTGGACACATGGCCGAATGGTTAAAAGCCCTGGCTGTTCCTCCATAGGACCCAGACTTTATCCCCAGTACCTACCCAGTGGCTCACAATTGTCCAATTCTATGGGATCTGATGCCCTTTACTGGCATCCACGGGTGCCAGGAATGAACATGGCACAAAGATGTACATATGGGCAAAATACCCATACACATTAAAAGATGTCATTTGTGCATGTGTTTGCACAAGCACCTATGAAGGCCAAAGAAGTATTAGATCTCTTGGAGCTGGAATTAAAGGCATTTGTGTCTGATGGGATCTAAAGGCATCCACAAATCCATGCCAGGACTACACAGAGAAACCCTGTCTCAAAATATAAAACAAGGGGGCTGGGTGTGGTGACACATGCCTGCAAGTAATCCCAGCACTTATGAAGGCAGAGGCAGACAGATCTCTGTGAGTTCAAGGCCAGCCTGGTCTACAAATGGAGTCCAGAACAGCCAAGGCTACACAGAGAAACCGTCTCTCAAAAAAACTAAAACAAACCCTAAGAAAACCAAATTACAGTAAGGGTTTGGAATGTGAGGCATCTTTCTCCAATGGTAGCCATGGAACCTAGGACCTAGGGCATTCTAGGCAAGTGCTCTATCACTAAGCTGCCTCTAGCTGATGTTTTAAGATTTCTTTTTTTTTAATTACTTATTTGGGAGAGAAGTTAAGAGAGGGTTCCTCTGTGTAGCCCTGGCTGTCGTGGAACTCACTCTGTAGACCAAACTGGCCTTGAAGTCACAGGGCTCTACCTGCCTGTTTCCCAAGTGCTGGAATTAATGGCATGTGACACTATGCCCAGGAGGTGTTTGTGTGTGTGTTGTTGTTGTTGTTGTTTTGTTTTGTTTTGTTTTTAAAGTTTTTGAAGAACTCTCAGAACTGGGAATGTTGGGGAAACCAGGATAGGGTTTAACCCAAGGTGATCTATCAAGAAACCCAAAATCAATCCCAGCCAGTGGCAAAGTGTCCATAGGGAAGACAGAAGCAAAGGCGAAATGTCTGTATAAAATGTTTATTTTTGTGGTCTGGTGTTTGAGAGGGTGCCCCACCCAGCCAGCCAAGCAAGGAACTGAGAACACTTGCAGCAAGCAGCAGGCTGCCTGGCTGGCCAGCTCCACCCTGCACATCTCAGAGCACACCAGGACCTGCTCTGAACTCTACGGTGGGAGTTAGAGAGCTGGGATTGTTTCTGCACCGGCAGACCCCCGAAGAGCCCAGGTAGGTAACTTCTGTAGCACCAGCCACTCTGCCCCTCCTTGCAGGGCTCCTTCTACATGTGTGAAGATACACATGTGGAAATATACATACACACACACACCTAGTCTGAAAAGCACTGCTTAGCTGCATCTGTCAGGTTCCAAAAGGAATTTTCACATTTGCTTACTTCCAGATCTTCCTCTGTCCCCTACTACTAGTACCTGCATCCCAGCTTTGCCTTACTCCTTTCTCAGGGACTCTTCCTTCCCTGGACACATGGGGGAGGGGCAGCTGGCCTCAGCTCTCCCCTAAAATAGGTAAGAGAAAAAAAAAAAAAAAAAAAAAAACAACCCTATGAGGCATTAGCTTGAGGGCTCCCATCTTCCCAAAGTCTGAGCCACAAACTCGGGGAAGCCATCTTAACTATTAAACAAAACAAAAACAAACAAAAGTAAACAAACAAACCAAAAAGCATAAATAAACAGCAACTAGGCCAGCAAGGAGGAAGGTCAGGTGGCCCTTGGTTGCCCCCTGTGCCCAAATCAGGCTCTCCCTGTGAAACTCAGCCATCTGTAGCCAAGATGACAGCAGCCCCGAAGATCCCCACACTCTCGCCAAGCAGCTTCATCTGGTTCCAGAACTCGACCCGTCGTGTGTTGTGCCAGTAGGAGACATTGCCATCAATGAGCAGCATGACGGGAGGCAACAACACAGCCAGGATCTGGGCAGCCAGGGTGACGTAGTAGCCTGACAGGAAGGCCAGTGCCAGGACCCCGTAAAGTACGAAGAAGAGCTGGACCATCAGCTCCCCTCCTGGAAGATGGTTCAGGTAGACCAGCCGGTCCTCCTTGCTGTGCTGCAGTGAGTAGGCCTAGAGACACAGCATCCTTTCAGACTGTGCAGCAGACGAGTGCCTCTCTGAGGTGGTACCCACAAGTCAGCCCCTGTAACTCAGGATGGGGACTCTCTGAAAGGAGGGCCTGTGTCTCCCTGATTTTAGGGCCCCAGGAGATAAGGTTAATCTCTAACCTCCCTGGGAGCTTCTGATGAAAGACGTGCGCCTCCTACTTTTGAATATATACACCACATAGAACTCTGCATAGAAGATGTGATTCCTGGTTCCTATGAGGAGGTCAAACGCTTGAAGTGTAGCTTCATCCTCATCTACAATGACCTTCCCAAGCACCAGGGAGAACTACCTGACTATCTTACACAACCCCCATCAGCTCTAAGTGGCAGAGTTACAACTAGGGCTGAGTGCACCACGCCTCTCCTTTGACCCCGCTCTGAGAAAATTATCACTCTTCTTTGCTGGATTCTCAGCATTGGGGCTGAATGCTCCAACTCCTTTTCTAGCTGGTGGCAATAATGTTGGAAGAAGGGACCCTCAGCCAGCATCAGGTACTTGGAGGCCCTTGAGAACCGAAAGGTACCCAGAGTAATCTTAAGGAGCCACCGGAAATTACCTGCAAGGCCTTGCTCTGCCCAACAGCCAGGATTCTGCTGGGCTTACACTCACATATCACCCCCGTACAGTGCCTCCAATCAACAGAACCCCCAACCTACCACACAAATGAGGTAGATGCCCAGGAACACCTGGCCAGTGGACTGCAGAGAGCGGCTTCGTGGTTTCTGACGGTACAGCTCCCCGGCCCCGCTGGCCAGCACCAGAAAGCCACCAATGATGGCAACTGTGCGCGAGTACATGCGGACCTAAGGCCAGGGAGAAAAGGGACCCCAGTCAAGAACTGCAATCATTACGCTTCTCTTGGTTGTCAAGAACATAGAAATGACCCCTTTATACACATCCCATTCTGTCTGATGAACCCTCCTACCTATTCCAAGTGTGATGGACAGGTACTACAGAGAGAGATAAATCTCTTTACAAGACACAAACTCAGGGCTGAGAGGGTATAAGTAAATGGTCTGTGGTCGTACAGAAAGTAAGTGGCAGAACCCGGGTGCCACACGCTGCCACCTCCTCCACCCCCAGTCTGAAACCTAATCCTGGGGTTCTTGCCTCTATGTAGATTCTATATGATCTGAAACAAGAATAGCCAGCTGGGGGTGGGGGGTTGGGGTGTACACCTTTAATACCAGCACTCAGGAGGCAGAGGCAGAGACAGACAGATCTCTGTGTGTGAGTTTGAGGCCATCCTGGTCTACAGCACAAGTTCCAGCACAGCTAGCGCTACACAGAGAAACCCTGTCTAGAAACAAAACAAAACAAAACAAAAAGAATAACCCCACTGTCCCATGGTTTTTCACACAGCCCAGACCTTGAGGCTACCACCTCCATGCCACCTTCAGGCTTGCAGCGGCTGGTACAGCACCTGCATTTGCAGGCACAAATTTTGTACTATATATTAATATTAATTACATATCATAAAACCTGATGATGGGCAGACCTGATACTCTCTAAGGTCTCTTTTGGTTTATGAGTCTGAGACTAATAAAGTAATAGTTTAAAGGATTCTGGGAATCTGGTTACATTGAGTTACCGGTCCCATCGATACACTGTGGCACGATTTTGGGAGAGTCCGTTCCCCATCTCTGGACCTCCATTTTCACACTCTACTAGGGAGGCAGAATGGTCTCTACGGGTCTGCCAGTCTGTGCATGTAATAACCGCCACAAAACTGCTACCTACCTCGGTCCTCCCAGTCTTCCCTTCACGCTTTGGAGTACCACACATGCCCGCCCGCTCCTTGTCCATAGCTAAGTCTCTTCTCGAGTTTCTGTGCTCACCTTTAGCCAGTCTCCGTAGTGGACATAGCCCCCAATGTAAGCGGCATAGGTGCTGATGGCCAGCTGGAGCGCGGCGCCCAACGCGAACCACCGCCGCTTCACTCCGAACGACATGAAACTAGCACACAACACAGCTGCCCCCATGTCGAAATACAGGTAAGGCACTGGGATGTCGGGCTTCCTGTGAATCGAGTGTAGGGGACAATGAAGTCGGAATGAACCGGGATTAAGTGTCTGGGAACACTTAGGTAAGTTCCCGCAAGCTCCACCGCTCTCCAGAAACTGGAGACCCTTTTCACTGTTGGGGCCGCCACATCAGTTCTGGTCGTATAGCAGAACCAGAGCATC